CTAACCCTTACTAGCTGACTAACCCTAACTGGCTGACTAACCCTTACTAGCTGACTAACCCTAACTGGCTGACTAACCCTTACTAGCTGACTAACGCACAGACCCAGGAGTGCGGCTGTCGTGCCATCTGGTGTCTCTGAAGAGATGCTTCATCATTTTCCAGAAGATCAGTCCGTCTTCCCCGCCAGCAACGCACTGATGAAACAGAGTCTTCTATCTCACAGACGAACTAAAACTTCTCTCCTTGGTCCTGATTTTTAAAACCTGGGGAAAGATTTTATTTGGCTTAGCCTGGGTCAGACACTGACCTGGTTTCTCATCTGTGTAACGAGAGGGGAAGGGAAGGGTCACCCAAGAAGCCTGACTCAGCACGTGGCTGCAGAGAGTCTCCCCGAAACAGTGACACACTGGGCATGTGATGATAGATGCCTTCCACAGATACTTTCAGCATAGTGCCACTCCCTGTGGGCCAAATAAATGTATAGGAGTCGATACTGTGACAGAGAGAGCGTGATTGGTGTTTAGATGTCTGGGCCCTACAGGGATAAAAGACCTGAAATATTCAAGATGATGTCATTCAATAAAGACCCGCCCTGCCCCAAAGGCCTCTGGTGCTTCAAGTGATAAAGCCAGTTTTGAAATAATGCACTTCTTGTTTTTAAGTTCGAGCATGCCTATTCAGAACAAAGGGTTTCTCTTCCCAGTCTTCCTTCCCACCTACAGGTGGCCATGAGATTACACCCTGGACATTGGGACAGAACCAGCAGTAGTGTATGCAACTATTTTTCATTTTCATTTATTTTTTATAGTATCTCTCAGGACTGGCAGGATGGCTTGGTACCTTGCCACATAAGCCTGACAACCCTAGTTTAATCCCTGGGACTCAGCTTGATCCCTGAACACAGGTAAAGGGAGACTGAGGGAGCCGTGCATGAAGTTGACCTCTGATCAGCATGCACATGTGCTATGGCACAAGCAGGCATGCACGCGCACACAGATGCATGCACAAACACACTCATCTGTCTCGTTCACACACAGAAATAATAAATAAATTTTAAAACAAATTTATGTGTACATATCTTTTATGTATATTATATATATATAACACATATTATACTTAATATACTTGAGACATGGTCTTATTTTATATTCCAGGATATGCTAGAGCTTGGTGTGTGGTCTAGTCCGGCCTAAAATCATGATCTTCCTGTCTCAGCCTCCCAGGCATCAAGATTATAAGCATGCACCATTATATCTGGCTATGTGCAACTTCCTTCAGACATCAGTTTTGTCCTCCTCTCTGCCTTCCTCTCCCCCTACCAGTAGGAGTGGGATACAATGGCCCATGCTTCAACAGCAAATTAGACTCTCGCATGGAAAGCCCACTTTGAGAACAGGTAGAATATAAAATGGCAGGAGTCTGGGCCAATGACAATCGCGGCTACACCAACTCTGGGCTCCCCGTGCCTCTGTCGGAAAGAGATTGATTGCTATTTTAATGTCAGCAGTAGTTCCTGTCACTCTTGGAGAAGCCAGGTCCTAGCAGATGTATGTACAAATGCAGGTCTGGGGAATTGAACTCAGGTCAGTAGGTAGTAAGTGGCTTTACCCACTTCAGACTTCTCACTGCCCACCCTCATTAAAAAACAAAACAAAAAAACCCTTAACATCCATTTGTAATTATATAGCAATAAGAACTGTAGCCAATACCTCAACTACCTCAATATAATTAATAGCTGCTATGTGGTAAGAAATTAGCTTTTAAGGGAAACAATTTCAAAAGAGGGGAAGAGAGGTAGGAATAGGGGGGTGGGCATGAGTCTGTGAGGAGTTAGGAGGAGGAAAGGGGTTGGGATGAGTATGATCCAAATATATTGTATGAAATTCTCCAAGACAATAAAAATATTATATGCAAAAAAAAGAAAGAAATTAGCCTTTGAAATTTGGGAGAAGTCCAATTATGTGCCTATGTGTGTTTGCCAAGGATTTTTTGGGCTGCCAGACTTATTAATAGCATGCTAAATTAGTATCCTCAGTTCTCCTCAGATATGTGCCAACTGTAGTATATAAATACCAAATTTTAATAACATGTTTAGTTGATGATTAATAAGTACCACCCATAGCTTCATTTAAAAATGAAAGCCTGTGACATTCATGTGCTTGCCATGTAATCGATAAAGACAAGAAGTTGTTAAAATTAAATTTTTAATTTGTTATAACCATATTTTCACCATAATGTGCTTTCTACCTGGACCTTCAGCCCTGCCTCAGGCCCAAAGCCAGAGGCCCAGGCAGCCCTGGACCCAACGCTCTGAAACCATGAACCAAAAATGAACCTTTCTTTCCTCTCTTAAGTTCTTAGGTATTTTTGTCAAAGCAACAAAAAGCTGCCCAATACATAAACCAATGTTATGTGAATTATACAAACAGAAGTATAAATTATAAAAGAAAATATGCAAAAGCAAACAAGTCTTAAGATATTGCTAACCATGGTTAGTTCTTACCCTGTAGTCAGCCAATACTACAAGCCTAATTAATATATCATTAACAATAGAAAATGCTAGGACAGAGGGTGTGGGTAGATCCCCTGAGTCAGTCAGTCAGTGCTAGCTGGGTCAAATCGTGAAGGGAATTCAAGCTGACTGGAACAAGAGAGAAGGGAAGGCATTCTTGAACTTCTCTGTTTTCCCATTTAACGGGTTGAATGACAGACAGCCTTCTAAAAGGTTAAGATTCCTAGAACCTGTGACTGATGCTTTACAGGTCAAGGTGGCAGATGTAATCAAAGCATCATGGATTGTGGCTTGGGCCATCACCCCAGAGACAAATGTCCTTGTAAGAGACGGAAGAGGGAAGACACAGAGGTAGAGGTGTGAAGAAATACAGCGGAGCCAGAGATTGGAGCGGTACAAGTACCAGGTACTAAGCTAAGGCAGGCCGGCCATTCCCCAGGCCAGAGAGGAAAGGAAAGATGCCCCGGAAGGCTCCGGGGGAGAGGGGCTTTGTCGATACTGTCGTTTCCAGTGTCTAAGCTCTCATATTGCAAGAGAGTACATCCCTGTGTGTGTGTGACTTGGGGGGCAAAGAGAAACAGGGCAGAGGCAGAGACACAGCTCTTCCTGCCCGGGAGTGCTCTTCCTAGGCCTCCCCCTCCCCATTCCCAGCTGCTCTGATCTCACTGGGGGCTCTGCCTCTTTCCAGTCTCTGACAGGCTTTCCCGTTCACCCTTGCTTGCCGCCAGCTGACTTTTGTATCTGAGCACTTACCAATAGTGGTCTTTTCTGTTTGGTTTACATCTATTGCCACTCTCTTTCCCACTGAGGTCTAAGTTTTCTGAGAATCAAGGTTCGGCCTGTTTGATTCACCATGACACGCTCAGCTCTCCAATACACACATCTGGTAGACCCTCAATAAATACTGGACAAATAAATAAAGGCTGGGGGCAGAGCAGGAGCAGAGACATAAATGCAAGGAGCCCCTTCCCGTTAGGTGCGCCCCACTCAGTTATGTAGCCCAGGCTGGCCTCAAACTCTTGACACAGCCGAGGATAACTTTGACTTTTTGATCCTCCTGTCTCCACCTCCTCCACAGTGCTGAGTGTATAGGCATGTGTCATACCAAGGTTATGCCTGGCTTATATGGCGCTGGGTATCAACCTCCCTGCACATGCTGTGCAAGCATTCTGCCAACTAAGTGACATCTTGGGTCCCCAAATGCAATACCTACTTCCCTTCTGTTTCTCTTTTCTTTCCGTTCCGGTGCTGGGGATGGAGCCAGAGGCTCTGGTGCGTGCTCTACCATTGAGCTACATCCCTTGTCATCTCTCTGTTCCTAACGGGGGGGGGGGGGGGGGGGGGGGGGGCATGGCTCTCTCCTCTCCCTGAACTCTGGACTCCAATGCCGCCCCCAGTTTCTACTGTATCAATGATTCACTCTGCTCTAGATCTTCACACAGCCTTCCTTGGCTTGTTTCCCTTGGCACATGCGCAAGACCGTATATCCTGTCCTAAAAGAAGAAAAGCTCGGTTCCATGATTTGAGGGTGTTCTCTGTATCTAAATCTGCCTTCTCTCCTTTGGTCCAGGGGCGAGTGGGTCATTCTCCACCCCCACCCCCACCCCGCCTCCCCCACCCACCCCTCAGGCTTCTGTGATCTGCCTTCAGTCTCTGTCACTGTGCTGACACTGTTCCAGATCAGCCACAGCGACCTGCCAGCTCTGGTCCTGTTTCCTTTCTTATCAGCCTTGGCAGTGTGTCTAGAAAGCTGTCCCTCCTGCTCCTGCTCTTCTGAGACACAGGTGTTCCTCTCTCTTGGGGTCCCCTCCAGGTCCCCACAGGAGGCTCTTCCTCTTACTCACTGGAAATTGCCATTTGGCCTCTTGCACGCACCCCCCTGTCTATATATTGTGAAGCATTTTTCTCTCCCGTGGTTTAGATGACCATTTATAGATGTGAATGTCATACCTTTGGGGACCTAAATTTATATTGCCTACTATCTTCTAGATATTTCTATTTTCATGGCCCTTCAAAAATAATATGCCCCGAGCTGAGTTTACATCCATCCTTATGTATTTCCACAAGCTACCTTTTCTCTATTTTCTCTCTAAGCGGAGAGACGATGCCAACTACCTCTCAGCTACTCGGGAGCTTGCCCAGCTTGTTCATCATCCCCTGATCGACTCTGGTGCCAGGTCCTATTGAATTCACCTTCTAAATATCTCTTGAATCCATCTGTCCACTGTTCTCAGCTTCTGCTGAATTCAAACCTTTTTTGCCTCTTTCCTGGGCATCTCAGCAGCGTCTGGACACTTCCTCCTGGGGAAGCTTAACCTCCCCCTCCCTACCCTCCCTCTCGTCTTCTTTTTCCCTTTGGAGATGTGGTCTCACTGTTTAGCCCAGGATGGTCTCAACTCACAATTGACCTGCTCCCGCTCCTTAAAGAGGTGCGTCACCATATACAGCCTTGTTATTTTGTTCTTAAGTGTTGTTTTCAAATGAAAGAGTCACGTATTCTCTTATAGTCGAATATTGTAGGGTTATTAAGCTAATACGAGACATTAAAGTTGCACTACACTCAGGCACATGTCAAATCTGACCCCCAACGTACAGGCACATATTTTTATATTTTTTTCTTTTCCTTCCTTCCTTCCTTTCCTCCACCCCCTCGAGACAGGGTTTCTCTGAGTAGCCCTGGCTATCCTGGAACTCACTCTGTAGACCAACTGACCTCAAACTCAGAGATCCATCTGCCTCTGCCTCCTGAGTGCTGGGATTAAAGGCGTGCACCACCACTGCCTGGCTCATATTTTCTTCTTTGAAGAAATATTTTTTTAAAAATACCCTGCAATTCCTCTTTGTGTGTGTGTGTGTGTGTGATAAGGTCTCACTATGTAGCCCTGGCAGGTCTAAAATTCTGCTGTGCATTCCAGGCTGGCCTGGAATTAATTCACAGAGATCCACTTGCCTCTTCTTTCTGAGTGCTACGATTAAAGGCATGCACCAGGCTTATGTATTTATTTATTTTGAAGTTCCTATATTTGAAGAGGTACTTCTTTTTTACATTTTAATATCTCTGATGCAGTCTTAGATTTGGTTAAATTCAGCTTTGCATTGTGCCCTTTTTTTACTCATTCTGATACATACTCTTTTTACCCATAATTCTAAATTAGTATTTACCTCCAGATCTTTCTAAAGAGCAAATCTGATCCAGTTGTGATTCTCTGGGAAATTCTTAAAAGACTCTGCCTTGGGGAGAGGACCCCCCTCTCCCTAGCCTTCCCTCCTCTGGCCCCCACCTTCCTACACAGCTGCACCCCTCTACCTTAAAGCCAAGCAGTTCTATTTGTAGCTAGTTTCCCAAAATATTTAAGTGAAGCCAGAGCCCTCTGCCCAGAAGTGTCTTCTGTCTTAAAGGTCTCCATTACTCTTTTTTAATACAAGAGCTTAGCCTGAGCTCTTCCTTCATGCACCCCTGGACCTCAGCTGGTGGTATGTGCTGCTCCTAAATCGGGTAGCATGCAAACTCATGTCATCTCTCTGGTCTTTTGATAGCAACACAGAGTTCTCTAACACACATCCTTCTTTATATATACCCATGTCTAACAATGCCCAGCCATGTAGCCAAAAAACTACCTTTGGGAATAATGAATTAAATATGATGAAAACAAGAAGGTGCCCTTATATATATGATGTAGAACCTTCCAGCTAGCCACCCCCAAGACAAACAAGAAGGCACTAAACCACTTGGGTATCCAGAAACCAAAACAATCGCAGACCCAGTAATTCTACCCCAACGGAAGGTGAATGGTGTCAGGACTTTGGCATCTGCCCCACCCCTTTCTCTCTTGAAGAACTGCAAGTCAGGACCCCCATTCTACCTCTTGGCCACTTGTGCAGTTCAACATACATGCTTGTGCAAGGCACCCAAGAGGGGTTCTTCTGACTTGCCCACCTGAGGTTCCCATTTGGACCCCCTCCCAGACCTGTGAATCCCACTGAGACTCAACACCAGTAAATAAACACAAGAGAGAGCCGAAGTTTAACGGAAAATATTTTTGTTTTAATAACTACTGTAAGGCCTCAAAGTTATATGGAGACATGAGTGGGAACAGTTTCTCCATGTCAACCCACTACTGGATTTCAGTTCTAGAAAATGCCCCAAATAGACACAGTCCTTCTTTCTGACCTAGATAATTTAAAGCCAATGATTCCGAGTCATTCGTGGAAAAGTACTAGGATACTGTTGGGATTTTAAATAAAGCACTTCAGATGTGGCCTGTCTGACCATCACTGCGATTGGTCTGTGGTAGTGACAGTACCTAGCACAAATGAGGCCCTGGGTTCGATCCCCAGTGCTGGGGTTGGGGGACAGGGGGTGTCCATATTCAAACGTGTTGACAATTGTAGGACCAACATACTCGACATAGTCTTAGTGAAAAATCCAGAACTGCAAAGCAAAGGAGAAGATGAGAACAGGAGACAGGGCATCAGATGCCAGCGGAGGAGAAAACGGAAAGTTTATCCCTAGACACGTGGGTGTCGTGAGAGGATGCAGACGCGGGCATTTGTGCTGGCAGTTGGGGAGGGAGGGCCGGCTGCAGCAAGCCTAGCTAAGGAGGGAGGGGCTTGATGCTACAGATACTGTAGATAAAGCACAGCGAGCAAACGGACTCAAGACAAAAGAGGGGGCACCCAGGCAGACAGAGGTGGAGGGCAGGGCAGCTGTTACGGAGAAGGTGGGCTGAACGTTAACTCTCCCCTCCTCAGAAGAGGTTAAAGAAATACTTAGTTCCACTCTACAGAGGCTCTGGATCAGGGCGGACTACGCATCCCTTCAACAGATCAAGAGAGTCCAGCACCCACCCTGGGGCGGAATCAGACCCTTGTCACGTGTTCAACATTTTAAACGCACGGAGGAAAACTTCCACGCTCAGAGCAATGATTTCACCAAGAAGCCAGCCTGAAACAGATGGAACGAATCTCTTCTGTTCACAAATCTTAGACTAAATAAAAACAAAACAGCCCTGGGTATCAAATACCTTAGCTGGGGAGACATAATTCCTATTGATTTTGGCTTCCCAGGCAATAAACTCCCTGACAGTGAATCCCCCACCCCCCTGAGCTGTAAGACAAGGCAGGAAAAAGCAAGGCAGAAACCAACCTTGGGCTGTAGCTTCAGGGACTTGGCTCTCAGCACAGACTTAGGGAGGTATATTTGAACTCCTTGAAGCCGGTGCCCCGGGAGAGGCCTTCCCAGTATCTCGGTATCTCCAAACCAAAAAAAGATTGTCAAGGTGGAGTTTCCGGGTCCCAATCCTGCCCCTGGGAACCCCAAGCCACTCCCCAGACCGCGTTAATAAAGATTAACAGTGGAGAGCCTGTCTGTTGGCCCCCCACCCGCGTGGACTTTGGCTGTAACTTGTGCCGCGGGGTAGAGAGCCGACCTCCCATGGCTTTTGTTCCCGGAGTGGCAGGCACTCCGAGGGACAACCGGTCGCCTACCTGCCTTGCATCTTCCGGGCCCGGGGGGAGGCAGTGCGTCCTGCAGAGCCGTTCGCCCCCGGCCTCACCTCCCCGCGCTGTCCCCATCTGGACCAGCCTGACTCACCCAGGATGGGTGGCGGGGGTTGGGGGACACCTCAGAGGGCGGAGGTGCAGGAGGCGGGCCGGGCCCTTCCTCCAGAGCCGGAGAGGCGTAGCCAGCGCGCAGGTGAAACCGACTCCGACCTATCCCGGGAACTTTGGCGGCGGGGACTAGCTGCCACAGGCCAGCGTCGCTCAGGGGCGGCCTGGGAGCCGCCCTCTGCCACCGGGGCTGCGCGCGGGGACTCAGCCCGGGCCCCCGCCCCCGGGGGACCCTCGACCCTCCCGGAGCGCTCCGGGGATGCGGGCGGCGCCGGTCTCCGCGGCTGATGGAGGCGGGTGGCGCCGCCCCGGGCGCAGGTGACACTCGCCAGGCCCGGGTTTCTGTCGGAGGGGGAGTGCTCTGGGAGCTCGAGACGCAGCCGCCCCGGGCACCTGGGACCCGGTAGCGATGGCCGGGGAGCTGAGCCAGGAGGCCCTGCTGGACTTTCTGTGCCAGGCCGGGGGCCGAGTGCGTAACGCCGAGCTGTTGAGCCACTTCAAGGGCTTCCTGCGCGACCCTCGCGTGCCCCCCGGGCAGCTGCAGCAGCGCCGCGAGCTCTTCAAGGGCTTCGTGAACTCGGTGGCCGCAGTGCGCCAGGACCCCGACGGCACCAAGTACGTGGTGCTCAAGAGGAGGTACAGGGACCTGCTGGGGGAGGAGGGCCTGCAGCGACCCACCCCCGCAGAGGGACAGCAGCCGGGCCGCCACCGCCCCCGGGACCGGGAGGCGCAGAAGCCGCCGCCGGCAGGTGCTGCGCCCCGGGTGGACTCGGGTGGCGATGAGCTAGCCGGCAGCAGCGCGCGGGAGGCGGCCGCCGGGGCCGAGCACGGTCCCAGGGACAGCCCGAGCCGGGGGACACCGGGGCCCGAGGCTGCTCAGACCAGAGGCAGGTGTGCGGCTGCGGAGACGCGGGGCCGCTGCTGCTGGGAATGCCAACAGAATGGCTGGGGGGACCCCACCGGACAGCATCTGCCCGGAGATCTCGAGGACCCTGCGGCCGCCAGTGAAGAGCCAGAGCTTGTCGCCGCCCCCGCCCCGGATGACCTCGGAGCTCCCGGGTGGCTGCGGGAAGGAGCGCCGGCTGAGCCAGCGCCGGTGTGTGCAACGCCTGGCTGGCCTCCGGCAGCCATCGAGGCTGCCGGGAGCCCGACGTCCCCGCCCGCTCACCTGCCCCTCCCGGCTCCCTCCAGTGAGCCGCTGGAGCTGTTTACCGCCCGCTCCCAGACCCATCCTACCCAGCAGCTGCAGCAGCAGCAGCAGCAGCAGCAGCAGCAGCAGCAGCAGCAGCGCACTCGAGAGTGGGTAAGCAGATGCCCGCAGATGCCTGAGGCCCCCACTCGCGCCTGGTCGGTGGTGCCAGACGACTTCCTTCAGCTACCCTTGGAAACCGCCTTTGGGGTCTCGGAGACAAACTCTGGGCTGCCAGAGCCCGCGGCGTCTCTTCATTCTCTCCTGCCTGTGGTTCCTGATGAGTCCTCAGAATCCTGGCCCGGGAACCTCCCACCCACTGTCTTTCGAAGCATTCGCTGTCAGCTGTCCCTCCAGGATCTGGATGACTTTGTGGATCAGGAGAGCCACGGCAGCGAGGAGAGCAGCAGTGGACCCAAAGAGTCTCCCGGGACCCCCGAAGAGGGGCTGCAACCTGTCCTGGGAACTTCCTCTTGGGGAGAGCTCAGGGATCCTATGGAGGGCCTGTCTGTGTCTTCAAATGACAGCAGCCCCAGTCGGATCCGGCGGAGCCTCAGGAATAAAGGGAATGTGCCCAGTTCTAGGAAGGTCTCAACGGTAGCTAAAAGCCTTGGAGACCACCCCCAGGAGGCTTCGCCCTGGCCAGCCCCCAAGTTCCGGAGGTCTCTGCGGAGGAGCGCCCGTACTGCGGGAACCAAATCCCCCTCCTCCTCCTCTGATGAGGAGCATCTTGATGAAGACTTATTGAAAAGGAGCCGGCGCCCACCTCGGTCCAGGAAACCTTCCAAGGCAGGAGCCCTGCCCAGCCCAAGGGTGGATATTGTTTTGATACAACAGAATTTGGCAGACGCTAATGTTGTGGCAGGTCAGCCACACACCTCATGGGCCCCCAACAGGGATGGATCTGCTGCCTTGGTAACCCAGAGGCTTTCTGAGCACAGGTCACCCCTTGTCCCCCTAGATGCCAGAGAGCATGAATGGATCGTGAGGCTTGCCAGTGGCTCCTGGCTTGACGTGCAGACTTTGTTTGGGGAAGACCCCCAGCTGGCTTTGCACAGAGACTTCCTGACCGGGTACACAGCCTTGCACTGGCTAGCAAAGCATGGTGACCTGCATGCCCTTCAGGACTTGATCTCTGGAGCCCAGAAGGCAGGGCTCGCACTGGATGTCAACGTGAGGTCCAGCTGTGGGTATACACCGCTGCACCTCGCAGCTATTCACGGCCACCAGGGAGTCATCAAATTGCTAGTGCAAAGGTTGGCTTCTCGGGTGAATGTCCGGGACCACAGTGGCAAGAAGCCGTGGCAGTATCTGAGCAGTAATGCCACCGGGGAAACATGGCAGCTCCTGGGTGCACCCCGGGGCAAACCCATCTTCCCTGTATACCCCCTAGTACAAAGCTCCTCCCCAGTCAGGAAGGTCAAGAGCCGGGAAATGTCTAGAAATGTCACCCGGAAGTCTTCCTTTGCTGCTTTGCTCAAAACCCAGCACCACAAATGGAGGCTGGCCAGCCAATATGAGAAATTCCACACCCCGAAGGAGAAAGAAGAGTACAGTGACTGAGGTGGGCTCCTCTCTCCGGAAGGCAGTGTCCCCCCCACCCACCCACCCAAGCTACTAAGTAGGTGAGAGAACCCAGCGGAAACAGAAACTTCTAGGAGTTGGTGAAGAGAAAGGACCCGCGAAATGGTGTCCTCAAGGGTCATCTCAACTTCTTGAAGGCTCATATGTTTGGTCTGTGAAATGTAGACAAGAGCAGAGCCAGGCACTCCAGCCCGGGAAGGGTCCCCCTCTCCTGAGCCAGCCAAGGGTCTGAGCACAGGAAGGCACAGTGTTTTTCTGCGGCCGCGCCAGGCCTTACTAGAATGGGAACAGATGCGCCAGAGAGAGGCAGTTCCTGGAACTGACAGAGCTCACATGCTTCCCTGGCTGGAAGCTCTCTGGCTTCTATTCATCTCCAGAATCAATCTTGGCTGAGTGGAAAGCACCAGGTTTGAAGTCAGATGGCTTCCCTTCATTTTCTTTATGTGCCTTTTGGCATTCCAACCAATGAAATAAAATTGTTACTGGAGAGTGTTGAATTTGATTGAAGAGATTTCCTCAGCCCTGTGCCCGAGCCTTCCCGTGAACAGCATCTGTGGTTGCTTGGTGTAAACTGATGACTCTCTTCTCTGGGTATCTTTGCTAGTGATCAGAGAAGCAGATAGGAGAGATCAAGAATGACCTTGACTCCACTCTCCGGAGAAATGACTCCGTTCAGGCCCAGCCTGTTTGCTGGTGTTGTACGTTTGTTTTTTGTACCACCCCAAAGTGAGCTGCCCAAGTATGAAAGCAGTTTGGTTCTTCATTTGTGCGATGACTGAAACTCTTCACCCTGAAGGGAAACTCCCTGTGTAGCAAACAGAATCATCTCTGACAGCTTCCAATAGCTTCCAAGGTCAAAGCTGACACTCGAGAAAAGAGAAAGCTGGGGTCTTTCTGGGGAAGTGGGAAGGGTTAACACCGTCAGAACTGTGTCAGGCTGCTAAGTATGACGTCATTTGCACTACACTTCTTGCCAATTAAGATTAAATATTAGCCTTGAAGTACTGAATGTCTAACAGGAAGTGTCCCGTCCAGGTCTCAGGAAGACGGATCAGTGCCGGTCCCTGGCCGAAATCACAGAATGACGACTCTGCACATCCCAGCAGAATGTGCAGGTCACCGAATATAAATCCAAAGAGGGCTGAAAAGTTCAAAGTTCAATCAGAGATTACTTTTTTAATGGAAATATTTTCATGTGTAGTGGCAATGATGCCGTATTTTTTAAAAGTATTTTTGTGTTTCTTCTGGTTATTTTCTTGCATTAAAAGACCAGCAGATCATTATAATTTATGATATTGTACCGTTCTGATTATTGCTAATGTTTTTACACAGTGGGCTCGATGATTTCAGATCTTTTTGTTTCTTTGTGGTTTAACTTGATGTTGCTGAAATCAGTTTCTTTTTTCCATCTCTCCCTTTCTCTGGGGATAGAATCTTGGACCCCCCGTGTATTATTCAAGTGCCCCCAGCTCCTATCAGTTTTTAAACCAAAAAGACAAATTAACCAATTCTGTGAGCTTTTCCAATTATGTAGCCTTTTCATCCCCTACCTAAAGGGTGAAACTGGAAAATCAAATCAGAAAACATGATGGGGGGTGGGGTAGGAAAATGAAAATTTAAGTTTACAAAATAGACGTCTATGTAAATAATCTAGTAAACAGCTTCTTTGGGGAGCCGGTGGGTTTACCATACTGTCACAACTGGATTAGCTTATTCAACAAATATTTTGCACAGTGCTATGGGGTTTATATAGGTGAACGGGATATGATCTCTCTCCGAGCTAGAAGCTAAAAATCTCAACTATTTGTTCTTGGCTGCTTTGTACCTCCAGACTCATTCCCAAGGTGTCTTTCAAAGCTGAGTTCCAACAGAGAGAAGCTTGTGATACTCGGCAAGAGGGGGAAAGGCGTATGTGTCAGGAATGGGGGAAACCCAATGTAATATAACACTCCAAATACTAGATTGAGAGAGAGAGAGAGAGAGAGAGAGAGAGAGAGAGAGAGAGAGAGAGAGAGAACTCCTTAGGCTGAGAAAATAAGAAGGTCCTGGCTCCCGCCAGGAGTGATGATACCGGCCTTCCCAAGGAACCAGCTCTGTTGGTTCCTCCGCATTCCTGTGCCGGCTTCAGTGTGTCTCCACACAGCCCAGTGCTGGCTGTCCCGCGGTGGTCAGAACACAGGCCCAGGCTGGCTCTCATGTCCTTTGTTCAGTGTCTGTGGGACCTGACCTGGTGAACTCTCTTACCAGGTCACAGTGCTGGGGGGAGGGGATCTCAGAGTACTACACAGGTCCCGAGGGGACAGTGCTGGGGGGAGGGGAGAGGGGGGAGGGGGCGGAGTCAGGGCAGAAGAGATGGGGAGGGCAGGGTGAAAGAGCCTTTTGCTCCTGTGGCAAAGTCCAGGCAGGGAGGGCTCTGCCGGCAGGAATGCTCTCCCAACCTTCCCTGGCTTCCCCCTGCTGTGAACCCTGCCCCCAGGTGGCACCACACCTAACGGGTGAGGGGTGGGGGGAGGAGGGGAGGGGGGCGGGGGTGTGTGCTAAGGCCCCATTCACTCAGTCTTCATCCTAGGTTCCTTCCGCTTGGAAACTCATATGTATTTATTACCTTCGTGGTAAGGTTGCTCATACCCCTCAAAACAAAACAAAACAAACAAACAAATAAAAAACCAAACACACACACAGCCCCAATACAACCTATAAAGAGGATTCAAGGTGAAGACCTCCAGATGTAGGCATGGCTACTTCACTAGAATTCCCAGAATGCTGTGTGCAGACCTCACAATTGCTGACTTACCATAGTGTTTGATTTCGTTTTCTGCTTTTTTGAGACCATGTCTCATGTTCCAGGGTGGCCTTGAACTCCTAATCCTCTTGCCTCAGCCTCCATGTGCTGGTATTATAAGCATGGACCACGGCCCAGACCAACTACCCCGTGTGTTTAAGCAAAGGGTTTTGATTTTACCTTGAGACTGTGAAGATGAGAAAACACTTTGAACTCATCTAAATAGACCAGGCTGACTTTGTTGCTGTTTTCCTTTCCCTCTTTTAAAAAGGTGAGGTGGTCGGGTCTTGCTGTGTTGCCCAGGCTAGCCCCAAGCTCCGGGGCTCAAGCAATCCTCTTGCGTCATCTCTTACGTAACCTCAACAGCAGCCACGCCACCGTGTCTGGATACGTTCACTGGGAATGTGTTGAGCATCTAGATTGCCCTAAGGATACCATTTCAGCCTTCCTGCATCCCAGGGCTCGTTGGTTGCTGGAGATGGGAGCTGTGAGATGGAGTCACTGAAAATAACCGTGGACAGAGGTGTGCATCAAGACTCGTGGACCAGGAAGATGGCTCAGTGGGTAAAGGCATGAGCCACCTGGTTCAGTATCCAGGTCTCCTTCGCTCACTTCCACATACACACCGAGACAGACATACCTCCCTACCCCACTGCCCCCACATGCAAAAAATAAAAATAAAAAGGTAAGAGAGAGGTTAGGATGGACAGGTCTAAAAGGTGCGATATATTACTAATGTAGCAAGTGGAGGGAAACCCAGAGGGCTGGCTGCTTTCTCCTGGGGCCACCTCTTCACATAACAGTCCTTTAAACTCTGTCCCAAAGGGGTCTCTGAGCCAAACAGCACCTTGGAGTAGCATGTAGCTGATGGACCGTCTTTCTGTGCATTTATCACAAAAACGACATCCTGGTTCCTCAAGTGGGACTGCGGAGACCTGCCATAAGCCACGGAAAAGTGGGTCCTGGAAGGGCTTTTCCATCAGGGGTGCACAGTCCTTTCAGAAGTAGTGTGTCCAACAAGGATGATCTCTCACCCGCATTCTTTTTTTTTCCCTTCTCTTTATTCCTATCTGCTAATTGCAGAATTAGGAGTTCAGAGAGGGAGAGCTTGAAACTCACGACAACCTGCTGCTTGTTAAAAGTTCCGATAGATTTGAAGTGTCCGTTTTCAGTGTTCTCTATCATGGTACCCCTGGCCTGCATATCCTATAGCGTGGATAATGGGACCCCAAATTGGCTGTGTCTCTGTTCTCATGCCAGAAGATTTATTGTGTTTACTTACGGAGTCTCTTGGATTCTTAGAAAGGGAGGCATGAGGCAGCTGGCTCTCTAACCACAGAAGTCCCTCCCCCTGAAACAGCCTAGAATCCTTTGAGAAGGGAAAAGGAGTAATTATGTAGGCACGGGACAAAGACATCTGCATCCTAAGTTGCCTTGGGTGCCCCCTGACCAAAACCCTATACCCGGACCCGTGTGTCACCCTACACCTCCAGGGCCTCTTGGGTCCAGGTGTTTGTTTCCTTCTATAAGCCTCCTCAGGACCACCTGCAAGATCAGAGGCAGATGGAGCGGCATCACCTGGTGCTCTCAGCATCCTGGATACAGGTCTGGTGCCATGCCCACTGTTACCGTGCGAACTGTTGACTCAAAGTCAGTTTGAGGGGGGGGTCTCTGTGCGACATTTCTCAGATTCAAAACTCTAAATGTCTTTATTTGTGTTTCTGGGTTGAGAAAATAAAACCCGATCTCTTCAAAAATTTAAATCTACAGCATGATGGAAAAATGGCTGTGAAGTTATAAACAGTTGGTATTCCTGAAAGAAAACAGAAAATGTATACAGGAAACTTGAAGGTGATAGGGGCAGGTGTTATATACAGGATTATTCTCTCAGACAAAGTGCCGCTGTCTTCCTGAGTTCAGGTGTGCCCACTTGTAAAGGATCATCACAGGTGAGCTTATTGACTATTGACCTTCCCTGATAGAAAGAGGGGCTGGGAGGGTCCCGGGACCCCCACCTTGAGTACACTCCTCCCAACCAGCTGTATGTAGTTCTGCCTTAATTGCACATGGCCTCGGGGAAGAGCTAGTAGTATATAAACTGGGAAGGCCTAGGGATAGGCGCGCATCTACGCGGTCGTCATCTATGCTGGGTGTGGACCTTCCAGGGTGGCGGCTTTCCAGCCACCCATGTTCCTGGCTGGAACCCTCCCCCCCCCCCCACGGCTCTGTAAGTAAGCCCAATGTTCTCACTGGCTCTCCAGAGTAAACCTAGAAGGTATCTGGGTTTGGTGCGGGGACCTTGGGGTAGGCATTGTCTAAGTTTCCCCTAGAGGAGGAATGTGAGCAATGGAAGCCACTGTAGCAAATGTCTGTTACCTGCTAGGTTTGGAATGTTTTTGTTGTGTGGTCGGTTGTTTTTTGGTTTTTGTTTTGTTTCAAAGCAGGGTCTTGCTGGGTGGCCCAAGCTAGCCTCTCATTCACTCTGTAGCCCAGGCTGTTCTCAAACTTGGGACCATCCTGCCTCATTCCAGCGGAACTGAATCATTTTGACTAATAAATCATTCTAGTTCACAGGGATTACTTACATATTATTTACATGGTGACGTTTAAAAAACATCAAAAACCTACCTTTAAACATAACTGAAGGACTGGAGAGATGTCTCAGCCCGTAAAGTACCTAGTGTGCAAGCCCGAGGACCTGGGGTTAATCCCCAGAACCCACAAAATAAAGCTGAATGTGGTAGCACATGTTCATAAACCCAGAGCTGGGGAGTCAGAGGAGGTGGAGCCCTGGCGCTCTCTGGCCAGCTAGTCTAGTAGATAAGGCAACTATGAGAGACCCTGTCTCAAAAAGCACATAGGAAAAACAATCAAGGGTTGCCCTGTGGCCTCTCTACCTGCACTCAGACACACACACACACACACACACACACACACACACACGCACGCACGCACGCACGCACGCACGCACGCACGCACGCACGCACGCACGCAGTATGTACTAAGTATTTAAATGAAGCAGGCAATAATTGGCTTATTTGAAAACAGTATGGGATTTTGAAGCACTTATGTCTTTACTCACTTTCTGAGGGAAAAAAATCTTTAAAATTGCATGGTTAATAAAAGGTTGTGCTGGGCAGTGGTGGTGCACACCTTTAATCCCAGCACTGGGGAGGCAGAGGCAGGTGGATCTCTGTGAGTTCAAGGCCAGCCTGGTCTACAGAGTGAGTTCCAGGACAGGCTCCAAAGCTACACAGAGAAACCCTGTCTTGAAAACCCAAATAAATAAAAAGAAGGTTGTGTTTTTATGTTATAGTTTGGCTTTTATTTATTTGTTTGTTTTGTACTAGGCACTGAACCTAGGACCTTGCACATGCTAGGCAAGTAATTTACCATTGAGCTACATCTCTGTCCTTGCTGTTGACAAGGGATCTCACCATGTTGCCCAGGGTGGTCTTGAACTTGTGAACCCAAGTGATTCTCTGGCTTAAGTCTCAGCTTGGACTATCAGAGTATGCCACCAGGCCTGGCTTTACAACTACCTTTATATTTAAATATATATATATAGAAGTAGTAACTGTTTTTCATACAGAAAGAGCCATAACAAGCACAAACAGTTCTTCTGATTTCACAGCATGAGTCAGTCCCTGACAACGTTTCGGTGTGTACCAGTCAGGCCAGCGTCTGTAACAAAGGTGACACCCATTCTCTGTGCCACATGCCACTTTTATTTGGTCAGTTCATCACTAGTTTCTTCCATTTGAACTGGATGTTGCATTCGGAGCCAGATAGAGGACGTTAATGTGTTTGTGTCTTCGGGTAATGGAGGGTGGGGTAGCTGAGGGGTTTGTGGGGCAGCGTGGGCTTCCGTGACACTTTCCTTCTCTGTCATCCAAGGGCTAGTCCCTGAATGTGCTAAGCTTGAGGGGGTGTGTGTGTGTGTAGGGGTGTGTAGGTGTGTGTGTGTGTGTGTGTGTGTGTGTAGGGGTGTGTGGGTGTAGGTGTAGAGGTGTGTAGGTGTAGAGGTGTGTGTGTGTAGGTGTAGAGGTGTGTGTGTGTGTGTGTGTAGGTGTAGGTGTAGGGGTGTGTTTAGGGGTGTGTGTAGGAGTGTGTGTGTGTGTGTGTGTGTAGGTAGGTATAGGGGTGTGTGTGTGTGGGTGGGTGGGTGGGTGTGTGGGTGGGTGTGTGGTTCTGGGCACCAAACCCAGGCCTCACACATGCCAGGCTTCTTTCTGCCATGTGCCCCACCACCCATCATTCTTTGCATTCCTGTCATGTGAACAACAGTTTTCTTTGGGTTTTTAGTTTCTTTGCCAGGGTTCTGGGTCTGGGATTTCCCAGGTAGGAGGCTCCTCCTCCAGGAAACTGGCTGCCTGCTGCAGCCAGCAGGAAGCACGGGAACTCTCTGAACACTTATCTGAGTCTTTCTGTTTGCTTATGGGGCCGTGGAGAGAGGGAGGAGGGGAGGACTTTGCTTGACGACAGTTTAAAACTGGGCCAGGTCTGCCAGCATTGCTGGGTGGGGTTTCATCTTTTTGTTCCTAGTAGGTAAGGAGAATATTTTACAGCCATGTTATCATGTAACATAAGTGTGGGAAAAGGGATCTGTCTATCAATCGTCTGTCTCTCTGTCTGTCTATCTATCTATCAATCATCTATCTATCTATCTATCTACCTACCTATCTACCTATCTGTACATATGACCAAATGGCTCTGTTTTTGTTTTGTTCTGTTCTGTTTCTGAGACCAGGTCTTAATGTGCAAGTAAAATTGCCTTGAGCTTTTGGTAATTCTCCTGTCTCTGCCTCCAGGTACTGGGGTGGTAAGTGTGAGCCCCCACTCCCAGCTCTTAAAGAACTGTCTGGGTTCAGTGAGATGGCTCAGTTGGTTACTCCTGGGTTTCTGAGTCTTTCCTCGTTAGTACAAACAGTGCTTCCTGATAGGAATGTCGTTGTGAAAACCAGCGTGAGGCTTTTACTTCTGGCTCTTGCCCCAGGGAGAGCAGTATAGCATTCATTTCATCTGTCAGCTTCAGGGGCACTGAATCATGTTAAGTAAAGTACCAGTCATGATCTTCTCTCCCAGAAGCCCTACCAACAGTGAGCTTTACAATGTTAATTTATTTACTCACTGTAATGTGCAAGAAAGCAGCTTTAACGTGGGTTACATCTTCTCTTTCTAGCAAAACTGTCCTGTTGGATCTTTTTAAGGGTCTCACCGCTTGATACTATAAATATAACATTATAATTTATTACTTATATGTTGCCATATAACAAGTTACCCCAAGACTTGGCAGGTAAAAAAAAAAATCAAGCATGTACTAGTTCACATTTCAGTGCCTCAGAAACAGTTTGGATGGGTAGTTTAAGGCTCAGGAAAGCTCGTAAAAGCCTAGACAGGTATCATCCAGGGCTGCAGGCTTGACCGTGTCTGCATGGGATGGGGGGACTCGGGCTCACCCACTTGGCTTTCGACAAAGACCTCGGTCCCTGCTGTTGTTGACAGGAGCTCTTGTTCCTCCCCAGAGAGGAGCCTGAGGATCCTCACAAGCGGATGGGTTGGCAGCTCGCTTCCTTCAGAACAAGCGATCCATGGCAGACGTAAAGAAGGCCGTGGGGTCTTCCATGATGCCAGTCTTGGAAGCCACACAGAGGCACTTCTGTCAGATTCTGTTTGGAGGAAGAATCGTAGATCACCATAGGGGAGGGGAGAGGGTCTAGTTCTTAAAGTAAGGACTATCATAGACTTGTAAACATATTTCAAAACCATCCCACACATTACGTGTGTGTGTGGAGTGTGTGTGCGTGTTCATGGGTAGGCGTGTGCATGTATGCCATGGTATAAGTGCATGGTATGTCAGATGACAAGTAGTGGGCACCAGTTCTCTCCTTTCATTAAGTAGGTTCTAGGGTCACTGGGCTGGGCAGCAGCAAGTGTATTTCCCCACGAAGGCATTTCACCAGCCGAGAGACTTCTGAATGCCTCTTCCCTTTTTGAGTGTTGAATCTTCAGGCTAGTTTAAAATTTTTAATTTAAAGTAAAAATTTCTATATAACCACAGATAACTCTTTTGTTTCTTTTTGTTTTTTTCCAGAGACAGGCTTTCTCTGTGAAGCAGTCCTGGAACTCACTTTGTAGAGCAGACCAGGCTCGCCTCGAACTCACAGAGTTCTGCCTGTCTCTACCTCCCGAGTGCTGGGATTAAAGGCATGTGCCACCACTGCCGGGCTTCACAGGTAGCTCAGAAGGGGAAGTGTTTCTAGTTTTCAAATCTTAGGTTATCAGAATAATTTTTCATGGATTAACAATTCTGTCAAATTAGTGGGCAGAACAAGCAAAACCAAGTCGAATGGATTATGACTCAAAGCATGGAGTAGTCATAAAATGGGAGCAACGAGACAGATTTTGTGTAGAAATCCAAGCTGTCTGTCCTTACAGTGGAAGACAGGCTCTCCTCCTCCAGTGTGAGCTGACTGGGGTGACTTCCTCGTAGAAAGTGGAGAAGAGGAAGCCACAGTGGGAAGACTTAGTCAACACTCTTACCTGTGATGATGAGTCACTGACCATGTGTACCTTGCTGTGATACAAGGACAATGGCACTTGACCTTGGCAGTCTTCCTCCAGGTACACATGAACCAAGTCTAATCACAGTGAAAATATATTCGATACATTCTTGCAGAGGGGATCTACTACATGTCTACCCAACACTCCTCAGAATGGTCAGGGTTATCAAAAGTAAGCAAAGTCAGCCGGGCGGTGGTGGTGCACACCTTTAATCTCGGGAGACAGAGGTAGGTGGATCTCCGAGTTCAAGGCCAGCCTGGTCCACAAAGCAAGTTCCTGGCTGCAGAGAGAAACCCTGTCTGGAGAAAACAAAAAACAAACAGCAAATTCAGAGAAACTGTAATGGTAAGAGGACCCTAAAGAGAAATGATAACTACCCTTAACACATCCAGGATGGGAAATGATAACTACCCATAACACATCCAGGATGGGGTCTTGAAAGAGGAAAGGACATTAGGCAAAAAGTAAGGAAAGCTGAGTAAATTAATGACTTTAGTTAATAATAGTGTGTTCATATTGGTTGATTAATTATAGCAAATAAATTAATGTATGATGACACAAGATGGGGGAACTATGTGTGGGTCGGTGTGGGTATATCTGAACACTATAATTATACTGTTGCTCAGTTAACCTCAGGCATCCTTAAAATGTCTATTAATAAGGTCTTGCTATAGCTCAGTGGTAGGAAGCTTACCTACCATGTCTACCGTGTCCAGAGGCCCTGGGTCCCATCCTTGGCATGGTGTATGAGTGGTGTCTATTAGTAAATGAAAGAGATGGGAAAGGAAATACAGGGGGAAAATGGGGAAATGCTAACATTTGAGAAATGGAAATAAAGGGTAAATGGGTGCTTTGTAAAGTACTTAAAGCTTTGAAGTTATTTCAACTAGGAAGCTTTTCTGTTTTTGCTACATCCAGTCTAAAGGTCTGCAAAGACTTATCATTGGTGATCCTGAGGTAACATTACTAAACAGGTTCAGTCTCACCCAATGGCACCCTCCTTTGGCCTGTTCCTAGGCAGAACCCAGGTTTCTGGATACTAGGAAGGGAATAGCTGATCAAAGGTGGCCTGGGGCGGGCTGTCTGTTTGCCAGCCTGGTACATAGAGGGGCGAGTGCCGTCCAGACGTCTGTCCTGCCCCTGCCTCCCTGCCATGCTTCCCGAGGGCCCAGCTTTCCCCACAAGCTGTCTCCACTCACTTGTGAGAGGTGCCCTCTGGGGACAGGGAAGGTGGATGCCAGTGGCATCCACATTTCAGTAGTGGAAAAGGAAAGGAAGAAGCCAGGAAGGAAGAGGGACAGACAGGAGTGGGGGTGGGGGGTGGGGGGACAGGGAAGGAGGCAGGGAGTAGAGTGAAGTACAAAGGATGAGCTTGGAAGAAACAATTTGTGTCTTCTGACGAGGCTTTCTTAGGGGATTTGGGAGTTGTTCGGGAACCCTGGCACCTAGGTGACTGCTAGAGAAGTCGAACCCGGCACAGGCTGTAAGTGCAGTGACAGTACCCTTCAGAAGTAGACACAGTCTTCCAACCTGGATTTCCTGCCCTTCCAGCCTGGGCTCCACAAGCAGCTTCTGCTGTGGTTGGCACGTGCTGAGGCCCTGATCACACGGGATGTGTGGGCGTCCCACTTTCTCACCTCTAGGCATCCCTGAGCAATGAACCCTGCCAGACAGGGAGGCTCTGGTGGCAATCTACAAGTTTTTAATTGGTAAAATTACACTGACGTGCCCATGAGACTTTCTTATTGCTTACCCAAAGCCTATGTCCAAACAGGGACTGAATCACATGGCTCTGGGAACTAGGGAGGAACGTTTAAAGCAGTTGTATTTTAGTTTGTGTTTTCGACAGGCAGAACTACCGAAGGGGCCACATTCAAAGGCAACAAGTGATAGTCCTCCTCTCTTGCAAGGTGTCCCAAGGTGACAAGACAAATCTAAAGCATCGGGGCTGGAGAGATGGCTCAGGAGTTAGTGCTGGCTGCTCTTCTGGAGGCCAGGGTTCACTTCCCAGTACCCACATGATGGCTCATCTGTAACTCCAGTTCCAGGAAATCACATGATGTCTGGCCTCCAAGGGCACAGGCATGTGTGTGGCACACAGATATACATGCAGGCAAGAAACCCATATATATATATATATATATATATATACATACGTATGTATGTATGTATGTATATATATACATATATGTATATATATAATTTTTGAAAAATTAAAGAGGCATTTTCTTTATTTTTAATTTTTTTTCTATTTTTCTTAAGGACAGTTAAACTATTGTGAAATACTCTATAAAACTCCCAACTTGGCTGGTTGGGATGCAGGATGGTGAAATTTGCAGAAAGTATCTTCTATAAGCAGCATTTGCTACAGTGGCCACTTGTGAGCTCTGCGTGGTTTGACTTTGGAAATCAGAGATCTCCACTTCAGCCGTAGAGACTTTAAGAACCATTTCACATTGTAGGCTTCAGTGTTTTGTGTGCTTTTTGAAATTAAAAAGGTAATACAACACACTTAAAATTTAGGAAATGAGCCAGGCATGGTGGTACAGGCTGGTAATCCCAGAACATAAGCTAAGGCAGGAGGATTTCACGACAAGCCTCAGCTATTGTATGTATGAATGTAGTTTCCATCTTGACAAAGTGGGTGATTCTCAGATTCATTGTTGAACACTAAAAGAAAATCAATCATATTATATATATATATAATATATATTATACACATACTATACATACACAATATACATACAATTATATATATATATATATATATATATATATATATATATATATGGAACCAGCTTAGGTGCCTGTGTCAACAATGGAGCTTTATTTAGCTCTAATGGAGAATGAACTCATGTCATTTACAAGTGATGGGTGGAACAGGAATTTATTATGTCAAGTGAAATTAACCAGACATGGGAAGGGAAGTGGACGTATTTTCGCTCATATGTGCAGGGAGTGGGGCCAGGGGGACGGCTTGAGAAGAGGGCAGACTTTTAGGGAAGGAAGGGGAAGTGGGGAAGAGAGAGGACAGCAGAAGGGATGGAGTCAACTGGATCTCTGTGAGTTCAAGGCCAACCTAGTCTACATAGAGTTCCAAGGGTAAACAGTGAGACCCTGTCTCAATCAGTATACAGATATGTATACTTCACTAAAATGATGAGCATAAATATTTGTATTGTATACATATATATATGTACACACACACACACACACACACACACACACACACACACACACACATTACATGCCACTCTTCTTCAAAGACTCCATAAATCAGAGCCTACAAAGACTTTGTTTCAAGCAGTAGAATTTCTCGCTGTCCAAATGGAATGCGTGCTGTGACTCAGTCAGTTTCTCACTGATGCCTTTCAGATGCTCTGCACTGTGCAGAGCACAATAATAAGGTGTATACTCCTCTCTCCTCAGAGCCCTCTGAGCAAGAGGGTGAGCCAGGCACCTAGAAAATAACGCGGTAGGTGTGGCAGGTACTGCCTGCCCAACAGCTTACGTACAGCTGGTCTAGAACAATGGGCCCCTACTTTCTGTTATGGTTGTAACCCTGGGCAATGGGACTAGTCTCTACTGTTTTGGGTGCCTCTTGGAAAGATATCAGCGATCTTCCCTGGCACGGGATCCTGAATGCTATAATACTGACTGACCGGGCAGGATGTGCCAACTGGTATGACAGTGGCAAGACCGTTTATCGGAGCAGGCTGCAGCTCTCTTGATGGTATTTGAGGCCAGCATCCCAAGAGCAAAGTCATGCCTGCTGCTGTAAATATGGGGAAGTCCTGGGGTGGGGGCGGGACGCCGTTGAGGTTGTTTTCCTAAACGGTCAGGTTATCAAGCCGCTCTCAAAATATCTGTTTATAGCTGAGCATAGTGGTACACACCTTTAATCCCAGCACTTGGGAGGCAAAATCAGGTAGATCTCTGTGAGTTCTTGAGGCTAGCCTGGTCTACATAGCATATAGTGAGTTTTAGGACAGCCAGAGGCTACATAAATAAGTGGTGAGATGTATGTTTACGCTAATAGATTTGTGCTTCTATCAACTGTAATTAGAGAGGTTTCTTGTTACGGTGGTTAGAGGTTAGTGTAGAGACGTGTAAGCTGTTCAAAGTGCTGAGAATAAGTGAATCTGAGTGCTCAGCTATAGACAGACAAGACATCCATATCATCCCCCACACCAAGCCTAGGGGACATCATGGAAGAGGGGCAAAGAATGCCAGAGCTGGAGGGTGGGGAACAGTGCTGGGAAATGCACCACATGAACTCACGGCAGCTGTGGTTACCTGCACGCGATCCATGCAGGATCAAGCCGCTTAAATCTGCTAGCACCAAGTGAGAGGGACTTCCAAGGCTCCTCCATCCCCGTCCAAAGAGCTAATGGCAGTGGCTGGCTGCTGGGAGAGAGAGGGACAGTCACTTTTCTTTGGAAAGTAGCTACTGGCAAATGACCCACGTCCCAGTGGGTGACCCCACTCCCACACATGTGCAGACAACACGAATTTGACCCGGTGGGTGATTAAAAGATTTTTTAAAAAGCACGTGAAGTTGGGAGAGAGAGATATTTGGGGGGGAAACTGAGGGTGGGCTGGAAGGAGTGAATATGATCAAAATACATTGTGGACAGGTGTGGAATTTTTTTTTTAAACAAGTTTTTAAAAGGTGTTTGGAGCACGAGGTTGCTAACTTCGTCGGGAAGTGAACCCGCTGAGCAGGCCATCAGGCAGTGGGCCCGGTGGGGGGAAGGTCACACTGGCAGGCAAGGCTTTGAGGTACAGGTCTGTCCCTGGTCCCTCCAGGTTGTCACCCTGCTCCACCATCTGCTTCTCCCGTCATGTCCCTGTTCACTGTGTCCATGTCACCTAGAGCAGGGTGAGCTGATCGGGAACTGAAACCCCTCACATCGAGAGCCCAAATAAAAGCAATCCTTTGTTCTCTCCGGTGTTTTGTCCCTGTCGTGACAAACGACCAACACAAAAGCCAAAAGACTGAAAACATTCTCACACCAAAAAAAAATCTGTAACCAAACACTTGTAACCGCATTGTTCGCAATGTCACAGAAAAGCGGAGATAATGGGGACGTCCACCAGTGGATAACTGGATAAACAAAATGTAGTACGTCCATACAGTGGAATTTATTACTCAGCTGTAAGAGCGATGTCCTACTGATACGTGCTGTCACAGAGGCAAATCTTTAAAGCAAAATAGTGATAAAGGAAAAGAGTTCAACACAAAGGACACATTTTGTGTGGTATCATTTTTATGGAATAGATAATTCCGGGAAGAAAATGAATAGGGTCGTTGAGATAAAGAAGAGAGGAATTGGGAGTGGCTGCTAATGAGTGGGAGACTTGTTCTGGAGTGACGGCAGTGTTGTAGAATTCCATAGCGAAGGTGATCACTCAGTGATCACTATGAATCACACCTTTTTTTTTGTTTTTGGTTTTTTGGTTTTTTTGTTTTTTTGTTTTTCGAGACAGGGTTTCTCTGTGTAGCTTTGCGCCTTTCCTGGAACTCACTT